TTTTAACCAACTTACCTTTAACTTGGAAGTCCATTATTGTCACCATTTTTCTAGTTCCAGTTGAAATCGAAAATGATACTTTTTCCTAGGCACTAACATCAAATAATACACTCATTTATTTAATATATTTATTTCTATAAATCTATATATTCTACATACTAAGAAAATAAAAATATTTTTTCTTAGCAAGCAATGCGCATGCTAAGTGCATGCACGTTTTCAACAAATTTACTAACCTACGCATTAACAACTGTTTCCTGATTAATTGTTTATTTACGATTTTCTAATTTCATGTGTAAACCTTCAGAGGTTTTCAAAATAATTTCATAACTAAATGTGGGCTTTCTTCCTACACCTATTAACTTATAATTTCTCAATACTTTGCTGATTAAAGCTTTAATTTCCATCATAGCAAATTTTTGGCCTGAAAAAACAATATGTAATTAATATGTGTTGTGTTCCAGTACAAAACAAAATGCATTAAAAAGGAAACAAAACTAATGCAAACACTCCTCTCCTCCCCCCCCCCGAATCGGCCATTTTTAGGACCACGTGAACGCGCATCTGTATCCACCGAGGTCCAGTCATATTTTCCCGGGGGTAGGTGCAAGTGTCTTTTTTGAAGAGGGGGGGGGTCAGCGTTTTTGTGCTGAATCCATTTTTACACCCGAGGTTTGAGCTCTGGGAGGATGACGTATGAAATGATAATGATGAAGGATGAATGGACAATTAAAAACGCACAGACACACCCAAACAACCATACCTCGGGTGAGATTCGAACCCGTGACCCTTCAGGCACGAGGCAGCTGTGGCAATTCATCGTTAGCGACCTCAGCTCTTCGGGACGGCCAAACACGGATTTACTATTGTTATTATTTCTCATGTAGAAGACAGCAAGAAAAACGGGAAAATAGGAACATTTCTTGAACCGAATTCTCAATTGTAAAAGTTACTACTATTATTTTTCTATTTATACTACAAATTATTTACTATTATTTTTTAATGTCTACATAAGAAATAATAAATTGTAAGATGCTGCAAGTGTGATATGATCCTAAACATTTATTTTACTACCAAAGTTCGAAGTATGCTTCTCATCAGTTTTTACTTCGGACTTAATCCGCCTATTGTGAACATTACACAGCTAATCCTCGAATTAGTCAGATTCAAATGTTAGCCGCTTACTCGAAAAAATGCATTAAAAAGCTCACCTATACA